GAATTAATCAAGGTGTCTTCTACTGATATTGTTATATCTGTGGAGAAATGGATGAGTTAATGAATTAATGAAAATGTCTTCTACTGATATTGTCATATCTGCAGAGAAATGGTATGAGCTAATGAAGTAATCAAAATTTCTTCTAGTGTTCTTGTTATATCTGTAGAGAAATGGTATGAGTTAATGAATTAACAAAAATATCTTCTTGTGATATTGTTATATCTGTGGAGAAATGGTATGAGTTAATGAATTAATCAAAATGTCTTCTACTGATATTTTTATATCTGCAGAGAAGAGGCATGAATTAATCAAAATATCTTCTTGTGATATTGTTATATCTGTGGAGAAATGGTTTGAGTTAATGAATTAATCAAAATATCTTCTTGTGATATTGTTATATTTGTAGAGAAATGGTATGAGTTAATGATTTAGTCAAAATTTCTTTAATGATATTGTTATATCAGTAGAGTAATGGTATGAGTTAATGAGTTAATCAAAATATCTTCTGCTGATATTTTTATATCTGCAGAGAAGTGGCATGAATTAATCAAAATATCTTCTTGTGATATTGTTATATCTGTGGAGAAATGGTATGAGTTAATGAATTAATGAAAATGTCTTCTACTGATATTGTCATATCTGCAGAGAAATGGTATGAGTTAATGAAGTAATCAAAATTTCTTCTAGTGATATTGTTATATCTGTGGAGAAATGGTATGAGTTAATGAATTAATCAAAATATCTTCTTGTGATATTGTTATATCTGTAAAGAAATGGTATGAGTTAATGAATTAATCAGGATGACCTCTACTGATATTGTTATATCTGTGGAGAAATGGTATGAGTTAATGAATTAATCAAAATTTCTTCTGGTTATCTTGTTATATCTGTAGAGAAATGGTATGAGTTAATGAATTAATCAAAATGTCTTCCAGTGATATTGTTATATCTGTGGAGAAATGGTATGAGTTAATGAATTAATGAGAATGACTTCTACTGATATTGTTATATCTGTGGAGAAATGGATGAGTTAATGAATTAATGAAAATGACTTCTGCTGATATTGTCATAAATGCAGAGAAATGGTACGAGTTAATGAAGTAATCAAAATGACTTCTAGTGATATTGTTATATCTGTGGAGAAATGGTATGAGTTAATGATTTAATCAAAATATCTTCTGCTGATAATTTTATATCTGCAGAGAAGTGGCATGAATTAATCAAAATATCTTCTTGTGATATTATTATATCTGTGGAGAAATGGTATGAGTTAATGAATTAATCAGAATGTCTTCTAGTGATATTGTTATATCTGTGGAGAAATGGTATGAGTTAATGAATTAATCAAGGTGTCTTCTACTGATATTGTTATATCTACAGAGAAATGGTATGAGTTAATGAATTAATGAAAATGTCTTCTACTGATATTGTCATATCTGCAGAGAAATGGTATGAGCTAATGAATTAATCAAAATTTCTTCTAGTGTTCTTGTTATATCTGTAGAGAAATGGTATGAGTTAATGAATTAACCAAAATATCTTCTTGTGATATTGTTATATCTGTGGAGAAATGGTTTGAGTTAATGAATTAATCAAAATATCTTCTTGTGATATTGTTATATCTGTAAAGAAATGGTATGAGTTAATGAATTAATCAAAATGTCTTCTACTGATATTGTTATATCTACAGAGAAATGGTATGAGTTAATGAATTAATGAAAATGACCTCTACTGATATTGTTATATCTGTGGAGAAATGGTATGAGTTAATGAAGTAATCAAAATTTCTTCTGGTTATCTTGTTATATCTATAGAGAAATGGTATGAGTTAATGAATTAATCAAAATATCTTCTTGTGATATTGTTATATCAGTAGAAAAGTGGCATGAATTAATCAAAATGTCTTCTAGTGATATTGTTATATCTGTGGAGAAATGGTTTGAGTTAATGAATTAATCAAAATGTCTTCTACTTATATTGTTATATCTACAGAGAAATGGTATGAGTTAATGAATTAATGAGAATGACTTCTACTGATATTGTCATATCTGCAGAGAAATGGTATAAGTTGTTGAAGTAATCAAAATTTCTTCTGGTTATCTTGTTATATCTGTAGAGAAATGGTATGAGTTAATGAATTAATCAAAATGTCTTCCAGTGATATTGTTATATCTGTGGAGAAATGGTATGAGTTAATGAATTAATCAGGATGAATGAATTAATAAGGAGTTAATGAATTGAGGATTAATTCATCAACATACCATTTCTCTGCAGATATGTTAATATCAGTAAGAAGTCATTCTGATTAATTCATTAACTCATACCATTTCTCTGCAGATATAACTAATATCACAAGAAGATATTTTGATTAATTCATGCAACTTCTGCTGATATAACAATATCACAAGAAGATATTTTGATTAATTCATACCATTTCTCCACAGATATAACAATATCACTAGAAGACATTCTGATTAATTCATTAGCTCATACCATTTCTCTGCAGATATGACAATATCAGTAGAAGTTCTCATTAATTCATTAACTCATACCATTTCTCCACAGATAATATCACTAGAAGAACATTTTGATTAATTCATTAACTCATTCTCCACAGATATAACAATATCACAAGAAGTATTTTGATTAATTCATGCCACTTCTCTGCAGATATAAAAATATCAGCAGAATATTTGATTATTCTCATACATACTCTACTGATATAACAATGTCATTAAAGAAATTTTGACTAAATCATTAACTCATACCATTTCTCTACAGATATAACAATATCACTAGAAGAAATTTTGATTAATTCATTAACTCATACCATTTCTCTGCAGATATGTTCAATATCAGTAGAAGAAATTCATTAATTCATTTCATCCATTTCTCCACAGATATAACAATATCAGTAGAAATCATCCTGATTAATTCATTAACTCATACCATTCTCTGTAGTATAACAATATCTAGAAAAATTTTGATTAATTCATTAACTCATCCATTTCTCCACAGATATAACAATATCAGTAGAAGTCATTCTCATTAATTCATTAACTCATACCATTTCTCTATAGATATAACAATATCAGTAGAAGACACCATGATAATCATTAACTCATACCATTTTACAGATATAACAATATCACAAATATTTTGATAATTCATTCAAACCATTCTCCACAGATATAACAATATCACAAGAAGATGTTTTGATTAAGTCATGCCACTTTTCTGCTGATATAACAATATCACAAGAAGATATTTTGATTAATTCATGCCTCTTCTCTGCAGATATAAAAATATCAGTAGAAGACATTTTGATTAATTCATCAACTCGTATCCATTTCTCTGCATTTATGACAATATCAGTAGAAATTTTCATTAATTCATTAACTCATCCATCTCCCACAGATATAACAATATCAGTAAGGTATCATTAATTCATTAACTCATACCATTTCTCTGCAGATATAACAAAATAACCAGAAGAAATTTTGATTACTTCATCAACTTATACCATTTCTCTGCAGATATGACAATATCAGTAGAAGTCATTCTCATTAATTCATTAACTCATACCATTTCTCCACAGATATAACAATATCACTAGAAGAAATTTTGATTAATTCATTAACTCATACCATTTCTCTGCATTATGACAATATCAGTAGAGTCATTTTGTTAATTCATTAACTCATCATTCTCCACAGATATAACAATATCACTAGAAGAAAACTGAGAAAAGTGAAATTTCACATATTTTGGGAAAGATCACTGTTATATTTTTTTTTTTTTTAGAAGATATTATTAGAAGATATTTTGATTAATCATTAACTCATACCATTTCTCTGCAGATATAACAAGATAACCAGAAGAAATTTTGATTACTTCATCAACTTATACCATTTCTCCACAGATATAACAATATCACAAGAAGATATTTTGGTAATTCATGCCACTTCTCTGCAGATATAAAAATATCAGTAGAAGATATTTTGATTAATTCATTAACTCATACCATTACTCTACTATATAACAATATCATAGAAGATATTTTGATTAATCATTAACTCATACCATTTCTCTACAGATATAAATATACTAGAAGAAGATATTTTGGTTAATTCATGCCACTTCTCTGCAGATATAAAAATATCAGTAGAAGACATTTTGATTAATTCATTAACTCATACCATTACTCTACTGATATAACAATATCATTAGAAAGATATTTTGACTAATCATTAACTCATACCATTTCTCTACAGATATAACAAGAACACTAGAAGAAAACTGAGAAAGTGAAATTTCACATATTTTTGGGGAAGATCACTGTTTGTATGACATGTACGATACCATCAGATTTTCTACCAAGTCTTTCGCCAGCCCGATAACCCATTTTCAGCAATAGCTTCATCCCGATACCGATACCACGTGTATGCTTCTCTCAATCACCGATTCGCCGATAGTGACATTTCCACGCCTTTCCTGCTTATATTCTTTTCATGAAGTTGTTGCTAAATCATTCGTAGCAGCTTCATCTAAAGCATATGTAGTTCCAGTTCAAATTTATATCCCATTAAAAAAAGCTTATTGATTACAGAGATTGATTTTGTCTGGAAAACAATAATCAAATTGGCTAAATATTGAAATAACTAAAGAAACAAGACAATATCATTTGAAATGATTATAAGACTAGCATTTTAAGCCTACTTCACAAAATAATTGCTTAACTGAGTAGCTAAAGAAGATGCATCAAATTTATATTTCATTTGAACAGAAAGAAACTTCAATTGTTTTAGAATTTTAAAAAATATAATTTCAAAGAAAAATTTGAGCTTAACAAAAACCTTCGTCGTCATTAGCTAGTTCCGGATTGGATAAATCTTATTAGGATTCACAGCAATTCCTTTCCCGGTAAGCAATAACCGGTAAGAACTGCCAATTTCTCACCATCCATTACAGTAACTCGAGCACTACTCCATAATTTATTTTCACCCAATACAAGTACAAGTGAGTTTTCTCTTACCATTCTAAATAAAAAAGTACTTTTTTTTTTTTTTGATCGAAGAGGTAATAATTAAATCTTTATTTTGTAAGCAATTCATCAATGCTAATAATACACGGCAAGATGCATATTCTCAAAGGGCTGAAAACGAAACTTCTTCACCATGCGAAAAGTGACATTACAACGATCATTAAGAAAATATTCGCAAGGTCTCATTGCTGCTTCTGGAGGATGACCATATAATACTTTGACCTATAATCATCTAAAATACTGTCTAAAAATTTTGGAGTTTCACTTTATCAATAAAAAAATTTATTCATGTAACCAATTTTCAACGTTCTACATCAGGTTTCATTGTAAAAAAAAAGTTACAAAAATTAGTTAGCCTAACATACCTTGAGGTCATCTTCTTCACTTGAATCTTCAACAAAATCTAAAATGACAGCGTCGTGGAAATGCACCGCACGATCAATAGTTCGATTGTACAGTGCAAGACAGTGCATTTCAATTAATTGACTAGAATCTTGCACGTCACTGCTCGTATGAGTTTCATTAAAATCTTGTCCCGTCACCGAAGTTGTTTCATTTTCTGCAATAAAATTAACAATGCTTACAAAACGATATAGAATAAATTTTCTAAAATTTCAAAAATATACATAATGTATTAAAAATCACACTTAGTTTCGAAAAATTAAATAATTCAAACTTTAGTCAAAGCTTTTTTTAATCAATAAAATCATTATTACTTAACTATATCATTACTACTTAATTAACTATAATGGAATAAACAGTACAATTTCTTCATTAATATCCAGAATTTTAGCAAGATTTATGTATGCATTAAATGCTAAAAACTTATTGCACTGATTAATGGTAAGTCTTTAGATAAAAAAAAAAAATGTGAAATTCATTTTATATCAAAGCTGAAATCTTATTACCAGTCAAAGTGCAATAAGTTCTACTAAGTCAGAATGTGAATCCATCAGAGTATTTCTTCTCTGAAGATCTGCACATGTTTCAAGCTCTGCATCAATTTCTTTAAGCTGAAAAGTAAGAATTTTATAGTGAAATTGCTTTTCAGGATTTTAAGTAATATTAATCTAATAACATTTGGTCCAGTGCAATTAATCTTTTGAATCATTCCATACACAAATATTCACTTAAAGAATGTTAACTGTATGTAAATGCATGAAACAAATTCATTTATAATCCATCTGAATGAACATTCTACTCATTATTTTTACCTTAAGATAATAAACTTAAGGATCACAATCGATCGACACTTGAGCTTTAGCAAAAAAAAATTAATTGAAAAAAATTGTACACAAACCTGCGACCGATAATTTTCTCATTCGTTTTGCTCCACCATAATTTAATTCTGACAATCCCAACTTCAAATGCAAAACATAATTATGTCTAAAAACTAATCTACTATAACCACAATTTTAAAAGTATCTAGAATGACTAATTAATTTGTGACATATGTAATGCTTAAAGTAGCATATATGCATCTCCTGTCGCGTATTTTACAACTTTATATGCAGTATTCAGTAATACTTTCACTATATATATATATGTTTTGGACTATAAGAATAGCAATTTGAAACTGGAAAAGTAATCAACTGGCTAGGTTAACTGTACAACAAATTCTTTATTCAAAATCAAGGCCAAAAAAGAAAAGTTTTATTAAACTCGAAAAGTTCTTAAAACTGCTGAATATAAACGCAAAGGTCAGCATACCACATATAGTATGGAAACGGAAATGGATAATAGCAGAACTCTTTATCAAAAACATAACAGTGAACAGAAATACAGCAGAAGTTTATACTCACATAGAGTTTATACTCACAAAAAAATTTCATCAGAAAGGATATAACCATAACTCTTGGAAGTATAGATGAATCCTAAAATAATGGCACAATTTTCTACGACTCTCATTCAAAACATCATTCAAAACGTTTTATTCCGAAACAAAAGAGCCATATTGTTTGTTCCATGCCTGATACCCTTCTAAATCCTCTGCAACAACCGTTGGGCGAACAGAACGCATTGCTACTTCGAAATCCGAAAAACAGATTGGACGGATCTGAACAAGCATTATTTTTATCTTGACGAAAGAAGAAAAAAAAAAACAAAGATAGCAAGGATTACTAATAATGAAAATTAATGAAAAACTGGATTCACTGGGTTAATAATATTTTTCGTGGTAAGAACTATTCAAAGAAATCGATAACATTCCGAAATCAAGTGCTCTTTTTTTATTTCATTTCATTTCTAATGCACAATTTCATCTTTCAGAAAATTCTTGAGAAAATTTATGAAAACTAACCTCTTCAGCGCTGATAGAAACAAGATCAAGTGAGGATGAATCAACAATATTACGAACTGGAATCATTGCTGCTTCGGAGCACAGTTGTTTTATATCTGCTCCAGAATAGCCTGTAACATTCACGGTAATGAAATTCATTTCACCTGTAATAATAAAAGAATTAAATACTTTTCAATGAATAATCACTTAATTATAATAAATTTTGCCACACTCACCGCCTGTTAATTTCGCTATGGACTGTACATCGCTATCCGAAAGATTATGTTCTTGATCGCTGAGAAGTAAAGAATCATTTGTGCTCTTGCAGCATCAGATGGTAAACCAATGTACAGACGTTTCGCAAAATGATGTTTAACAGCTGAATCCAATTCCTCAGGTCTTAAAAAGAAAAATAATGAAATATAAGTAAAAATGAAAATGGAAATAATTCACACAATGTAGCTTTATCTTCTCTAGTCAATTCAAACACTTCCTCAAAAGCGAACAACAGAAAAATGAATTCAAATAACGTATTTTTAATAATGAATGAAAAATTCATCTGAAGAAAAAATCAATGAAAAAAAAAAAAAAAAAAGGAATGTAAAATAATAGAAAGTTGTACCTGTTTGTAGCTCCTAAAATAAGGATTCTTTCATCAAAGGTAGTTGCAACACCATCCAAATGGATAAGAAATTCAGTCTTTATTCGTCTTGATGACTCATGCTCACTCTCATTGCCACTTTTAAGCAAAAAATCAATCTGAAATTACAGTTAGTAATAACTGAATTAATTAATGACTTTACACTTTTAATATTATTCAGTATAGATCGACGAGCTTCAACAACTAGGATGCACAATATGGAAAGTATAAGAGAATGCTCGTATCTAACATCTTCAAATAAACCGTCTTTTATGAAAACAAATAAATAAACGATGTAGTGTAAAGAAAAAATACTATTTCGAAGTTTTTGAAAATTTACGCTCATTTATAGCATAGCAATAAAAAAAAGTTAGCAATAAAATGATGTGAAATCTAGATTTTATTGGAAATTTTTGGCCGCTAATTATGTTCTTTGGAACAAGGTAAAGTAAAACTCAGCTCACTTCATCAATGAAAATCACAGAAGGCTGTAAAACCCGTGCTATCGCAAAAAAGAGCCTAACAAGTTTTCACCTTCACCAACCCATTTTGACGTAATAGACGATGCGGCTATATTGAAAAATGTTGCTTTACATTGCGATGCAACACATCGTCCTGCAATAGTATTTTCATAGAACTCAAGATATTATTCATACAAATTCATAAAAAATATTTAAACCTTTAACTAGTAACAATATATACTAACCAATCATGGTTTTGCCAGTACCAGGTGGTCCGAAAACAACACACCTTTAGGTGGTGCACGTATACCCTTGAAAATGTCACTGAAATCGTACACATTATAGAGATGGGATGTAGAGAAAATAGAACAAACAATCGATAAGAAACGATACGAAAATTTTATATTTTCTGTCATTTTCTGATAATTTTATATATGAATATTCGATTTCATCGAAGCGCTTCAACATATAATACTTTAACTTTTTTCAAATTTAATTTTGATATGTGAACATTATCCAAGCATTTCTTAATATCATTATTAACTGAATGTAAATAAACATTACAAAAATTAATACTATTATTTCGTGGAGAAATAACCATACTTTGTTTCGATATTCACATATAGTAAAGTAATTTATAAAAATATCTGCACTGACACTGCACTGACTGTATAAATAAATGTTAGATACATAAAATCATACGGTCTGAGAAACGGAAGAACGATAATTTCTCTAAGTGCTTTTTTGCCGGCTCCAAACCACATATATCCGTCCACTGAATATCCGTTCCCATTGACATGATCTGAAAGTTAAAAATTTGAGAAAATTGTTAATTTGATATTTGCATGGAAGAAGAAAAAATCCCTTTGATTATCTTTAAAAAAAAAAAAAAAAAAAATATTAAAGATAAACAAAAGTTCCAAGATCAAGAATCTCAACTTTGTTAATAATTAAATACAAATAATATTTGCATAACTGCTTACATAACAGCACCTAATAGAAATTAAGTTATGCAGCGGTGTTACTGTGTCATATTTATTTCCTTCCAGATAACTGTATAAATCATATGCTATCAGTAAAATGTCAAAGTAATAATGTGCTCAAGCGCTTAAAATTCAAATGCATAGCTTATTAAAAATATGAAGCATAGTAACGAACCTCAGCTTCGATTAAATTAATTACATTGTCTTCCAAAATTTTCAGTGACTCATCCGCCTTCCATCCTTCTCTTTTTATTTGCAACTCCACATCCAACATTCACTTTAATTTGTTTATTCTGCATGACTCACAACCAGTTCCTTTCTCATCCATTTTATATAATAACAGCTGATTCTCCAGAGCAACTTCCCTGTAAATGTATCATTTTTAGAAATTTTGAACCACACAAGAATGATGCACGAGAAAATGGAATAGGTGAAAGCATAATATGAAAGCATTTCATAGTAAATGGAGAAAGTCATTTTCTAAACAACATTTAACAAGCCTGCAAGTGCTTCAGGCATTCAGGAATACAAAAACGCACCATCTGAAGACCATGAATACAAACCAAACATTAGCTAGAGTAAAAATATTAAATAAAACATTAGAAAATTAATATTTTTAAATAACAAAAAAAGTGATATAGGAGTATGAATGAAAATGCGAAAGTTTCCAAACAGAGAAAGAACGAAAACATAAAACAGTAATTTACCTTCCTTCCAAATATTGCTGTGTCATCTCTTTATTGGTGTTTGTCTGAAATGATCAATTTATTGTGTAATATTTCCTAAAATTCATCCCTAGGAATAAAGCTAAGTGAAAAGGATCTATCGAAGCGATGCGCTTTACTCACTTCACTGCAAGTAGCATACTAAATTTTTTTTTTATCAAATTTTTGAGACAAACTTATTATTTTTGATTTGTTAAAGAAAATTCTCATTTGTTTTATCTTACAATCTTGAATTTTATAAATTGCAAAAAAGCATAAAAGATTCACTGGTAAACTTACATTATCAACAGATATTAAGTAATAAATTGAATACGATACTTACTCGACTGCAAATTCTTCTCTGTAATTCCAGTACTTTCTGATCCTTACTGACATCGAAATGTCTC